TATCCATGCAATGTAGCATCAGGCAGCCTTAAAAAGGAATGAAATTCTGATGTATGAACGAAGCTGGAAGACATGATGCTGAGAGCCAAAGAAAGGGATTCTCCTCAAATACAACCTTTGTTTTTAAAAACCGCACAGTGCCAGTTAAGGCCCAGGAGTCCTAGAACTACGCATGATGGAGTTCAAGTCCTGTCCTCACCAATACATGCCATGTTGCTTCAAGAGATGACTCCAGAATTCTCAGAAAGCTAAGAACAAATGGGGTCGCGAGTCACCAGAGTTGGGTGTGTTAGTCGGGCTTTTGTTGCTGTGACAAAACACCTTAAGTAAACTTAGAGGAAGAAAAGATTGCTTGGACTCAGTTTCAGAGTGTTCAATCTGCAGCCACTGGCTCCTTGTTTCTGGGCTGTGGTCAGGCAGAGCCTCATGGTGGCCAGGAAAGAGAAATCAGAGAACGAAACCTCTTCCTCCAACCAGGCCCGATCTCCTAATGATCCAGCTCTGAACTCAGTGTGTTCAACAGTGTGTTCATCCCTGATGAAATCAGCACCCTCCTGAGGGAGTCGCTTTTCAACAGCACCACCTTCTGGTCGCCAAGTCTCAGCAAAGGTACCTAGGAACATTGCATCTTCAACTCATAACAGTTGGTCATAATAATCAAACTAATATGATTTTAAACATGTATCAGTGGAGATAACAGGAGACTGGTTCTTTAGAGGAATCAAAGAGAGGGATGGTCAAAGGGTGGACTTGCCGTGGCCAAGATGGTTGTCATTCAAATACTAGCTTCTCTGTGGTCCTTTAGGGCAGCGGATTCTCCCAACACGCACGTGGCACCCTGGGTCTTCCTTAGGAGGAGAAACCAGACCAGATGCTTTGGGGGTTCCTTGGAGTTCTGTAAAGAGAGGTCCACTCCAAGCCTCCCAGTAGAACTGCACATTCCAGTAGTAACCCCTGGGTACACATGCCCACTTCATTTCAATCCAAACAAATTGCAGCTAAATAAAGCTGTGTTTAACCTGGTCTCCAGACTCTTGTTTCAAGTCCTCACCAGCTGTGTTCAGCTAGCAGTACACACTGAATCGAGTACAACACAACTCTCCCAGCATGCAGTTCCTTCACGGGGCCCTCCAGCTCCCAGCTCAAGGTCATCTTGGGAAGAGGTGGGTTCAAGTCTCCTCAGCAGGAAACAACACAGAAGGGTCACCCTCCTGCTCAGGGGCAGTCTCCTGGGATGTACCCACTTAGAACTGAGTCTCTGCCATGCTGGTCTCCCAGGAAAGTGAAAGGCAAGTTCATAAGATAAGGCTGGCTAGAGAGAAGAACAGCACTGTTCTCCTGGTGAGTAGTCTCAGGTGACATAAATCCATGTTTAGTGATTAAACTCCAGTCCCTTCCACATAAGGCCTAGCACTGACCTTTTGCCCCCTAAAGCCTCCATAATTGCTTTTATTATTATGCCAGGATTTTATCTCAGCTGAGAGTTTCTTTCTTGTACCCTATTCAAAGTGTTAATAGGCTGCATTTAAGACCTTACCTCACAATTATGTTGAATAGGCTGAATAAATCAACACTGGTTCTTAGTCCATTTAAGGGAGAAAATTGAACCGCTGTGAACTTAAATATTTTAAAAGTCAGGGCTGATGAACATGTTAATGCTGCCCAAAATTAGCATGCTTAATTTATGGTGACAAACAGGAGGCCATTTCCTGCAGAGTCTTGGGAGGAAGGAACAGGAGATGGCAGGAGCAGCCAGCAAAATGCACTTGGCAGAAAGCTTCTGGGAGCTTCCTGGTTCCCTGGCCCAAGGTGTCTCCTTACTCACACGCCAAATTCAGATGAGAAACCCCTTTTGTGTGTATGTGTGCGGGGTGGGATGGGGGTGCCTCATGTAGCCCAGGCTAGTCTTGAATTTGCTATGTAGCCAAAGATGGCCTTGAATGCCTGCTCCTCCTATGCCTGCTTCCGGAGTTCTGGAATGACAGTCACGTGCCACCACACTAACTCAAGAAGCAGCATTTGTAAAGGCCCTGGTTCAGCAGGTAAGAAAGCTTGCTGCACAGACATGAAGCCCTGAGCGTGGACCTCAGTGACTGCCCAAAAGACGGAGCACAGTCAGATGTGCGGCATGAACCCCCACTTTGTGTGCTGAGCCGCAGAAAAAGAAGATAGCAGCCAGCCTGGGATTCAGTCAAAGGAAAAGGCAGAGAATGACAAAGCAGGACACCAACATCCTTCTCTGGCCTCTGCAGGAGTGTACTCACCCATGCACACACATACATGTGCACATGCACCACACGTGAAAATGCCACACTTACACACAACAACAACAACAAACAAAACCCCTGGCAGGTGCTTGTATGGATAAGCTCCATGGGAGCCAAGCAGCTCTGGACACATCCTGTTAGCACTTTGCAGAGCTCAACTCATTCTCAACCATTTACCCCTCTCTTCCCCTTAATATGGTAGAAATGTGCCTTGAGATAAAATCCAAATGGACTCTCAGACCAAAGGTCTAACATTCTTGGCCTGCCACATCTTTAATGCGTTCAGATCCCCATCACCCATGTCAAAGCTGGGTATGGTGACTTACATCTATAACCCCAGTGCAGGCAGACAGAGACAGGAGGACCCCTGGAGCTTGCTGTCTAATGTAGCTAAAATGTTGAGCTCTGGGTTCAGTGAGGAACACTATCTTTAAAAATAAGGCACAGAGTAATAGATGAAAATACTCAACATGAACCTCTGGCCTCTATATGTGCACATACAAATGGTCAGGTACTTATGCACAGGTATACACATAGGCATATATCTTGAATGCACACACATAGAGGGAAGGGGCCATAGAGGGAAAATGGGTAAGTAGCCCAGTGGTAGAGAGATTGATTAGTGTGACAGTTAATCTTCATTGTCAATTTGACTGGATGTATTATCACCTAGGAAACATAGCACAATGTGTATATGTAAGGGTGTTTCCAGAGAGGTTTGACTGAATGGCAAAACCCACACTAAATGTGAGTTTATCCCATGGCTGGGGTCCCAGACTGAATAAAAATAAAGCTAATCTAGGCATGGTGGCATACACCTTTAATCCTCACACTTGGGAGGCTGAGACAGGAGGACCTCTGTGAGTTTGGAACCAGCCTGGTCCACAGAGCTAGCTTCAGGCCAGCCAGGGTTATATAGTGAGACCCTGTCTCAAGAGGAGGGGGATCAGGAGGAAGGGGAGGAGCAGGAGGAAGGGGAGGAGCAGGAAGAAGATGGAGGGCAGGAGGAAGAGGAGGAGCAGGAGGAAGGGGAGGAGCAGGAAGAAGATGGAGGACAGGAGGAAGAGGAGGAGCAAGAGGAAGAGGAGGAGCAGGAGGAAGAGGAGGAGCAGGAGGAGGATGGAAGGCAGGAAGAGGAGAAACAGGAGGAACGGGAGGAAGAGCAGAGGGGGCAGGGCAGGAGGAGGAGGAGGAGGGATAGGAATCTGAGCCACAGCACTTGTCTCCTCTCCCTGACAACCAGTGCAGTGTGATCAGCTGCCCCATTTCTGCTGTCATGCATTCTCTATCATGGTGAACTACACACCCAAACTGAGTAACAACTAAAACCCACCTTCCTTAAGTTGCTTTGTTCGGGCATTTTATCACAGCAATGAGAAAAGTAACCAAAAGCAATTAGCAAGCACAAAACCCTGGGCTTCAGCCGCAGCACAGCACAAAAGGTCAGAGTCAGGTCTGAGTGTGGTAGCTCAGTAGAAGAGTGCTAATCTAGCCCTTGAGAAACCCTGGGAGATTCCCCTTCACGACAAAAGCTGACCCAAGGTTCAGTCTCCAACACCAAAGGAAAACTAAATAAGCCAGAGTGGCTGGCTCCAGGCTGGGAGAAGGAATGCCAGGCACAGGCCTGCCCAGGGGGTCCCACACTCTTACTTGGTGAGGCTCTCCAAACCTGAGAAACTTGCCTAAAAAATTGGGGGGGGGCAGGTGGTGAGGGGGAACACAGACAATGACACAACATGCCTGATACAGGCCAGGGTTGTGAAGCTTCTGGGTAGAGGGACAACTGGATACACTTTAACAGGCATGGGGGTCTGGGTGTAGCTTGCAGTTGACACTCATAGGGGGAAAAAAAAAGCTTAGTTGTTTCTTTGTAAATGTATTTCATAAAATAAAACATTGTCCTTAATTCTGTCACTGTTTGATGGGGTCTTTGTTCAGTTTTGCTTATTTTGAAACAGTCTCAATATGTAACACAGGCTGGCCTTGAACTCACCACCCTACTGCTTCAGTCTCCCAAGCATTAGGATAATAGTATAAGCCACCATGCTAACCTCCTTCATTTTAATACATAAAACATTATGTGAGCAAGTCCTTGCGGAGTAATATCAGTGTTGTGAGAAGCTCATCATTTTTCTCCAGGGCATTTGTTTCTGAGACAATGGAACTAAGAGCATCCACTCTGAGAGGCGTGACTAAGTTCTGCCCAGCAGGGGGAGTTAAGCCCAAAAACAAATTTTCTCCTGGCAACTTTTTTACAACAGTCTTAGGGGTGCCATTAACAAGGCTCAGGAAGCTTCCACACATCTACTGGATCTCTTATCCCTCCCTAAAATCAGAGGCAAACACCTTTGCCGCCAACTACATGGCCAAGAGCTACGGGAAGGGAGCAGGAGGTGTAGGGCGTCTAGAAATCCTCTACCTCCAGCACAGGTCAGTATGAGCCCTGTGTTGTCAAGTAATAATGACAGCATGTACAACTCCAAGCTGACATTCCACTTCAGTATTCTATAAATGTACTCAAATTGCTTATGTGTTGTTATTTATTTTACTTATGGAGGCTCGGTTTTCCAAGTAAATTATTCTCCCCGACTCTGATATATTAGTTTGAAAAGACAAGTGTTGCAACATTCAAAACAAAATGAGCTCCAAATTAAAGAGATGTGAATCTTCAGATGTGGAGATAGAAATGTCCAGAAAGCCATTTGAAGTCTGCGTATTTAAAACGTCAAGTAATCGAGAGGGTTAGTGGAATTTAATGAGTTACAGCCTTATGTTCCTTAAAATAGTTTCTGTCACAGGAAGGCTGCTCAGACTGTAAAGCACCCAGGGAGGAGAGGGCCTTGTGTGCCCACACCATGAACACTACAGGCTTTTCAACTGTTCACCAACCACATCTAACCAGGGGTAACTCAGGTAACCTGGCCCAGTGCCCAGGACAGCGTCTGGCCCAAGATTCCCAAACGGTCTTTTCCTAAGTTCTGTGACATTTGTAGGCCTGGGGAGACATGGGGACTTCAGTTTCACTGCTGGGCAGTAGAATGAGGACACACTAGGGGACAGTTAGCCTGCCTGTAGGTGTAGAGGGTCCCCAGAAGCATGCTGGAAAGAAATCTAAACAAATCAGTCTACAACCAAGAGTAGGAAGCCCACTCAGAGTGACCAGGTGCTAAAGGACCATAAGAAAAGGTGGCCTGGGGCTTTTTGGTTCTGGGCTTAAGAACAGGGCATTCATTCTCACTCAAGAATGTGTGAAACTAACCCACACTGGCCCTGTTGCCCTGACAAACAGAGTTTCTGTGACTTTTCCAAGCAGCCAGGGCCACTGGCCAGTCTTGGAGAGGCTAAGGTCTCCATAGTCCCTGGTGTGTTCAGGTCCCTCAAGACTCCCTCATACAAAGTTGCCTCAAAAGAAACCATTTCCTGAGAAAATGATGGAGTTACACATGGCAAGTAGGCTGTATGAGACTAGGGGTGTAGGATCTGGGCAAAGACTTTGCTCCTAGTTGCTCCAAGCACCATCTAGCCCAAGTCTTTGACAACACTGAGCTACATGTCCTAAAAGACTGGTACTCGTTCTGAACCAACAGCTGACATATTCTCCTTGTCTATACCCCAATGCCCCCTTTGAAGTAGGCCTGGAAACACAGCCTCAGACCACCGAAGCCTGTTTCCACCAGCAGGGCCTCCTAGAGGCCAGGAGCATGGAGAAAATCCAGGAACCCAAAGCACCAGGTGCCTGGGCTAGGGGAGGGAGACCCGGGGCACAATCCAACCCTGCAGGTGAGAGCAGAGGTTCCCCACCTCTCCACCCAAAAGGAAGATGCCCTTGCTTTGGATCTTCCTTCATGTTCCTTCAGTGTCTCTGTTAGGTGCTATAATCTAGATAGTGCTTGCCCATTGTGGCCTCGCCCTGGAATTGGTCATCTAGTGCTACCTCAGGCTGCAAGATGTCCCAGGACCTCAGGACTCATTCCCAGTTTTGGTCATAGTGAAGGATCCAGTCCTGCACCTGCAACTCTGCCCTGAGAACTATGGAGGTGCTCAAAAGACCCTCAACCACACCTATAATTCTATCAGTTATATCCATTACTCCTGAAATTTGGTAAATCTGCTTTGTTTGAGACACAATCTGGTGTGTAACCCAAGGGTGTGTAACTCACTATGCATTGAGGATAGCTTTGAACTCCTGATTCTCCTGTTTCTACGTGAGTACTGGGATTACAGATTGCAACATCATGTTCAGTTTATGTGATGTAGAGATCAAACTAAGAGCCTCATGCATGCTAAACAAGCACTCCAGTAAATGAACTGCAGCCCTAACCAATAGCTTTTCTTTTTTTAAGACTTATTTATTTTATGCATATGAGTGCTAGATTTGTGTGCACACCAGAAGAGGGAATCAGATCCCATGTGAGTCACCATGTGGTTGCTGGGAATTGAACTCAGGACCCCTGGAAGAGCAGCCAATGCTCTTAACCTCTGAGCCATCTCTCCAGCCCCTAGCTTCTTTTCTTAATGTTTATTATTTATAGTCATGTGTGTACGTGCAAGTCTCTATGTGTGAATATGTACATGGGTCCTGATGACCATGGAAGTCAGAGGCATTGGATCTCCTAGAGCTGGAGTTACAACCCTGGGCATTGTGAGCTGCCCAGCCCCGCCCCCCCCCCCATAGCTTTTCCTCTTAATTTAACAGGCAGATTCTCTAGCACCAAAGTGAAAGAAAACTTCTAAACCTTTTGTTACAAAGTCTTTTGGAAAACTCACTAATAGTACATTGCTATCTAGGAACTCTAGAGGAAACCAGATTCCTATTAACAAATGGAACCCAGACAGAATATTTCAGCATTTCCTTAGAGGCCACAGCAGTGGGGACTGGCCGTGTAGCTCAGTGCTCAGGGTCCCCAGTTCAATTCCCAGTGCAGAACTGTGTGCCCTTTCCCCAGCTCAGCAGAAAGTCGCAGCATCCAACAAATCCAATGAGCAGTGAGCATCTTGTTTCCTTTTTTCTTGCAGGGGACAGCCAAATGACTCAATGGATGTTAAAGAGGGAAAATGGCTTGGGTAAGGAGGAGGCAGAGGAAGACAACCGAAAGTCCCAAGGAATCCCAGCAGTACTGTATCTCACTTCAGGCCTCCTCCCGTTCATTTTGCAGACAAATTCATTTAAAAAAAAAATGTTAACTTGAAAAAAAATCCCCTTAAAATGAGACACAAGAGCACCACCTTGTGGTGAATCTCTTTCACTGTTTCTGTCTTACACGATTCCTGCCATGTCCTGTATTTTTCTTCTAACAAGGTCATGTAAATGAACACCTGTAGCAGCACATGCCACCCAGAAGGTGCATGTGGCATCTGAAAAGGGGAGCCTGTCTAAAGCCTGTTACCCCAACTAAGGAAACTTGGTGAGGGTAGAGGAAATGTTCAACTGGGAGGTCCAGGGTGAGGGGTCTCAGAGAGGCTGAACCCACACACCCCCAAAAAGGCAGGTGCCAAGCTTCAGGGAAAACTTCCCTCACGGTATGTCACAGTGCTCAGTGGTTTAAGCCTGGTCTTCACCACAAACCCAGGAAGTGCTGCGGCCCCAGTCACTGATCTGGAAGGATGGGGGCAGATCCTAGTGAAGAACTAGGGCTACTGAGAAGCCTTCACCTGTGACCGCTGTGTCGTCTGCATCTACAGAAGGCCACAGCTTGCCACTGACTGGTATATTGGAGAAACTTGAGGACCTAGCGTTCCTTGAAGGTACTCCACTAACAACCAAGCCCACAAAGTTGGACAAAGCCCAGAACAAAAAAATTGATTGATGGTGATGGGGTTTTTTTTTTTTTTCCGACACAACATTATACTGTTTATTACAGGTGTCCCATTTATTCCCACTGACAAAAGTCATTTGGATTCTGCATTCCCACGCTGAGAATTAACATGTAGTATAGTCATTAAACATAACAGCATCATTTTGGGGTCAGCAGTATTGTGTCCTTGTTGTTTCCCCAAGGTCTCAGCTTCATGAGTTAACGTCTTGATGTCTCCCCAAGTTACCGGTTTACTCTTCTTTTTGGAACGTCTCCTCTTGATGGGTTTGTCATCTACCTTCAGTTGCTTCACTTGTCCAGTGGTCTCTGGGGTGCTCTCCTGGTTGGATGTATCAGGATGGGAGCCCCCTGGGACTTCATCCACTTTATGGGGGTCACCAGGTATTGGTGGAGTACCAGAAGGTCCTGAAGTTACTTGGTAAGGATTATTCGGAGTAGGATGAGGTCCTGGAATGGGATATGATCCTTCGGGGGCAGGATATGGTACTGGTGGTCCCCAAGTTCCTGGTGGCACAGTGCCCCATGGAACACGCGGTGCTCCTGACACTGGAGGGGGAGCAGTGGGATGTGGCCCTGGGGATCGATATGGCACATTGGGATGATGCCCCCCAATTCGTGGTGCCCAAGGTCCAGAAGATATGGATCCCCTTCTACCTAAAGTAGCAGCTGCAGTTGGATCTGTGGGTGCACCATATGACCTAGGTAGTTCTGGAAGGGGCATATTCGGTGTAGCATAGGGCCCTATGGGACCAGGGCCTCGTACAACAGGGGCTGGATAAGGACCACTAGGTTGAGGACATGACAGTTCAGAAGGAAGAAAGGGTGCTGGGGATCCTGGTGCTGGTCCAGCCAGAGGGATGGAGGGATAAATTCCTGCTGGTGCTGGTCCAAAAGGCAAAGTGGAGGGTGCTGCACTTGGGGAGAGTCCAGGTAGCATAGCGGGTGGAGCACTTAGGTTACTCCGAGGGTTGGGGCCTGGCCAGCCTTGAGGAGGTTGGCCAGCTTTTGGATTGCTCACAGCAAAGGTTCTGGCAGGGGACTGTTCAGGTAGCACATATGCCAACAAAAATTCATCTGACATTTTCCAGGCAGGATCTGAGACTGAGGCATGACGCATAGTGGTGATGAGTCCAAAGAGACAGGCAATGGAGAATCGACCTGAGCAAGGTGACTGCTTAAATCTGCTTCATAAAGCAAATTTTGCCCTAAAAAAAAAAACAAAACAACTGGTTGATTAGATCCCATTTTGAACCTTTAATGGTCTGGCCACTTTTCCAAAATGAAGAAAGGGCCTAGGAAAGACTTAAGTGGTGGAAACTGAACGGTTGGGGACAGAGAAGTCAATATGTAGGGAATGAGGGTAAAGACACCATCTACAGAGCTGTAGTGTGGAGAGAGATGGTTCTAGAAACATCTCTACTGTTGATTTTGGAAAACAGTCTTATAGACTGATTTTAAAAGAAGGGATAGTTTTATAGTAACTTAGTAAAAGTGGAATTCCTTCAAATTAAGACAGAACATTTACAATAACTAAAGTTGACCTCTTCCTTAATGGTGAGAAAGTAGATTATTTCCACTTGTAATCAGTACAAGGCTGGGCTGCCCATGTCACCACTCCTACTTGGTATCATAGAGATGTCCCAGCTAATGGGAGATGAAATAATACAAAAAGGGAAAGAAATGTAGGTAGATGAGCAAAGGAAACAAAAGTCTCTATTCCAATTATTCGATTGCCTATGAGGAAAATTCCAATGAGTGGACGAAAACAAACAATACTTCCTGGAGATATAAGTGATCATAGCCAAACTTCAGGACAGAGCCACCACACAAAAGCCCATTTCTTTCCTGGGTATAAGCCCTACAACAGTGCACAAGCACCAAAAGAATTAACATCAGGACTCAAGAATCATCAAAGCAGAGGATCAACACTCTCTAACTTCTTACGGTAACAAAAGGCAAGGCAGCATTATACTTGAAATAAGTAAACAAATAAAACCAATGGGATGGAATAGCTAGTCTAGAAATAGACCCACAAAAGTATCAATAGATCCTGACAAAGGAGCTAAGGCATGACAATGGTATAAAGAAAGTCTGTTCCACAAAAGGTGCTGAAACTCCAGATTTCACAAGCCAAAAACAAGTAACTCAGACAAAGATGGACTCTTCTCAAAAAAGTAGCTCAAATGCATTATATTCCTAAAGGCAAGGCATAATAAACACTTAAGATTTTTTTAAAAATAGGTAACACCTTTGTGACCTCAGGTTTAGCAATGAGTTTTTAGACACAATACCAAAACCATAATTGAAGAAAAACTAAGCTAGATTTCTCTAAAATGTAAAGTTTCTATGTGAAAACCCATCACAGATTGAAAAGAATAGTCTCAAAGTATCCCTGATAGGGCTGTCCAAGAGACTCCTAAAATATACACTGTATTACTGTTGTCCTTGGCTACCACCACTTCCAGGAGTGGAAAGTAAGTCCCTATTGCTAAAGATACCATGCACTGAAGATACCTGTTCAGAAACTGGGTCCAGAGACCCCTAAGCTAGAAGTGACCTAAATGCCCCTTCCCTGAGGGCTTCCTTTCATGGTATAAGAAGACACCAGGCAAGCTTCCAAACCAACAGCTCTATACAGACAGCTATGACATTTATAAACCACATCAACAACCAGCATGTCACAGTAACCCTAAGGGTACAGTAGTAGCATGCATACTTGGCAGTAACCAACAGCTCTCTAATTGGACTTAAGTCCCATTCAAAAAGGAAATGATGCCTGGTGCTGGCAACCTAGATAGGACAATCTAAAGTCACAAATTTATTAAACCACCATAATCCCTACAATAATCTAAACATTTGTCTGTTCTTACACCCACAGATAAGTATAGTTCTCACTCATCATCCAGGAACCTTCTTTTTTCAACAAACAGAGACCACTGCAGAAAACCACAACCAATCAAAATGCAGAGTTGTAGAGCCCAGTACCAGTGACACATGCACAAAACATTCCTGTACCTAAGGCTCAGGCAACGTTGTGGAAGAGGGGGCAGAAAGCCTGTAAGAGTCAGATGATCAGGATGTTAGATAGCTGTGAGACTGTGTCTCCTAGTAATATAAGAAGCTACATCCATAAAGTCTCACTAGCATGACTTCCCAAACATGAACTGAACAAGGACAGCACCCACCAACAGACATGCCAAAGTGGACAAGCAAAAGCCCACAAGGCCTGCACCCTACACAAAGAACTACAGGCAACCGAGGCAAGCTGGGAGTGGGAGAGGTTGTCTTTCCTAGGGCAGGGCGCACCAACTGGTTGTCCAGTGCCAAATGGTCAGCCCTGAAAACATGTATACAGGTAGCATTATACAGACTGAACAGATTATATTTAGGAATGTATGTATATATACATACATACACACATACATACATGCCATAACAGTTAAAAAGAAGGCCACAAACTTAATGGAGAGTAGGGAGGGGTACATGGGAGGGCTTGAGGGTGCAAAGGGAAAGGAGAAATGTTATGACTATATTATAATCTCAAAAATTACATAAAATAATATCCCTGGTAAAGAACTAGTGTCAGTAAAACAGAGGATCCCAGAGAAAGAGGGACAATTTGGCATACTGGTTCATCAAGTTACTGTAATAAATTGCCACAAACTTCATGACTTTCAGCAGCAGAAGTGTACTCTCTCTCAGCTAAGGATATCAGGGGTCACATTTAGGTGGCTTGGCTGGGCTCCTTCCAGAAGTTGTAAGGTCTTTCCTTCTGCCTTCTAGGCACAGAGACAACTAGGGTACATCACTGCAGTGGGCCCCCAGTCTCCATATCGCCTGCTCCTGTTTTTCTCCCTCTGGCCCTATTCCACAGTATCTGGGACTCCAGAAAACCATGTTATCATCCCAAGACCCTCAACTTGGGACTGGAGAGATGGGTCAGCAGTTAATTGAACCCTGCCAGCTCTCCCTTCCTCCCACTCCCCCATCTCTGGCAGCAGCTGAAGGCTAAGGTCAAAGGTCAGGGCCAGGACATGTCTATAGTTTAGATGCATCCTAATGACCTAATGACCCCCATTCAAAAGGCTGATAAAAGGTTTCTATTCAGGATCTTTTTTCCCCAAGACTGGGTTTCTCTGTAGCTTTGGAGGCTGTTCTAGAGCTCGCTCTGTAGACTAGGCTGGCTTCAAAATCACAGATACCTGACTGCCTCTGCCTCCTGAGTGCCGGGATTAAAGGTGTGTGCCACCAATGCCAGCATCTATCCAGGATCTTACAGTGGGTTTGCTAGAGTGTACAGACTCTGCCAGTTTATAGAGGTAGGGCTCAGCTTCTGATCTTAAGGGATTTCTGCTCCCAGGATGCTTTTCCTTGATCTCTTCCAGGACTTCCAAGGTGGGCACTGAGCTGCTTCCCCTCTCATGACCAGCAGAGGGCAGCAGCTCCCTGATGAGGAAAGCACCAGCAGCCAGCTTTGTGCAAAGATCCTCCAAGAGGGGCTGAAATCAGGCATCTGGTACTTCTATGGGTATGTACATATATATGTACGTATGTACTGGGACCCATAAATGATTCCTACCTCTCTGAAGTTCAATAACAAAAATAGCTGTCATTGAGGTTACAAATAAGGTTTATGTAGAATTTTAGTTTACTTCCTTGGTGCCCTCCTAACTCCCTATGCTAGGCTAGGAACTGTCACTCCTAACTATTGACAATGAAGAAACTAGTTCAGAGAAGCTAGAAAGGCATTGGTGGCACACACTTGTGTGTCAGCATATAGCTGTAATCTCAGCATTGGGAAGCCTAAGGCAGTAAGAGTCAGGAGTTCAGCATCATCCTGGACTAGAGTCCAAGGTCAGACTGGCCCACAGGAAACTAACAAGAGAGGGAGAGAGGTGAGTCTTCCAATCTGGCAGAGCAGAAGCTTTAATTCCTGACCTTGCTGGGCTCCTGGCCTTCGCCACGGGGTAACACCTTCTACATTCGACTAGTTCCTGCATGGGATTGTGGTGATGAGGAGGGCTGCCCCAGATGCAGCAGTCACATTAGGGTCAAGTTCACAAGACCAAGCTCCTGTGTTAGCTCAGAGGACAGGACATGAGGCCACCGTGAGTTTTGAAGAATACATACTTGCATACCTGTCCCTTCCTTGTTCCTGATAGACAGGAGACTCAGCTGCATTGAGTCACTAGGGTCGGTGTGGGTTCTGCTCCTGATGGTGGCGTGATTCTAAAGGTGACTCATGGGGTAGATGGCAGGTGCTAATATGAAGAGGTGCCCTAGAAGGGCTTTCCACAGAGCAAGTAATCAGAGCTGAGGCAGAAGAGAGAAGCCTGTGCACTGGGGCTCTCCTCAGAGCAGCCCTCATGCTCCTGATCACATCAATCAAGCTGACAGTTCCTCCCACGAGAAGATGAGACAACTTGCATTGTTAAGGGGCTCTGATGTACAAAGAGCTTTTCCCAATATACAGGATTCCTAAGTTGCTAAGATAAATGGGGGAAGATTTGACATTTATTGTGCATAATTTAAGTTCAAATAGGTTCCCAGCGAAGAAAAACTGCAAGTTGCTGAACTGGGTCTGTGCCTTCAGTTTCAAGCCTTCTGCTGCCATCCAGCTCTGCACTGTGCTCAAGCTGCCTTGGTTTTATAATTTAGAGAACAAAGCCATATTGTAGAATATGGGGAAGCTGTATTTTATTTTTGAAATGAAGTTATCCCCATCTGTGAATTATTTTTTTTCAGAAAAACACTTAAAATGAGCAAGTGTTTTTCTCTCACTTCAAAATATGTGATTCAAAAAAGAATCAAATGGCTGATAGTGTTTTAAAATAAAAATAGAAAATGCACAGGTATCCATCAAATTTAGAGGAAAAGTTTCCCCAAGCCTCTAGGCCAGCCTCTCAGAGCCCTGCTGTGCATGGATTCAATGAAGTGTGTGCTCTGCTCCTAATTTTGGGCCTGCTGTGTTGCTCCAAAAAGTGGAACAGAGACATACCTGAATATCTGGGTATCAACTCAGGATGAGCAAACCAAGCTGCACCCTACTATGTCAGCAAGGACAGCATGTTTCAGCCCTCTGCTCTACCTCTGCCTCCCCTTCAGAAAAGGGAGGGATAGCACCATGGAGGGCAACAGAGGGGTTGATGCACTCCTGTAGGTTAACACCATGGCCTTGGGAGTTCCTAAGCTTATGCAGGTAAGTGGTAAGGCAAGGGCTTTCTAATGACTCCAGGACTTGTGCATCCCAAAAGTTAAGAACTTTGTGCTGAGTCTCCATTCCTTGGCAGGATGTGATGGTCCAGGGTGTGGAGAGGGATTAGCAGTAAGTGCCTGATTCATACTCGAAGCTCTTCAATGGCCTCTGACTTGCCAATGGCATACATGCACAGATACCAGGAACATCTTCCAAATCTACTGGGTACATATTAGGTAATGCACCCACTTCTAATACCTTGGGTGACACCCTAGAGATTCCAGAAGTGTCTCTGAAATCTGGCTAAAAAGCAATCTCAGGGATTCCAGGCAAGGAGGCTGGCAACTGAGCTAGCAACTCCAGCAGAATATAACTGTCCCAGGACTCCTGCTCCTCCCCATCCCCAAGGCTTCTCCATGCTCACCTGCTCTCTCCCCGGGTTCCTGTCTAGCCCCAAGGAGATCCAAAGTCTGAACCAGGATGGTAGCTTAGACTGAAGTTAGTGCTGGCATACAGCTACATGAGTCAACCAAGTTTCTACAGCCTTAGCTGAGGTTAGGCCATGATTGACGGTACTACTCCCACTAAATTCCTGTTAAGAGGGTTATCAAAAAGATTCGGAAACAGAACTCTTTAAGAAACTGGAGACTCTTGTTAACCATGAGCCTTCGGGCTGATGTGCACTGGCTACCTGACTATCCAGTGTAGGGACTCAAGGTCTGTGTCACAGCCCAAGGTAGCAGCAGCTCTGGGGCTTCACTGTTTACAAGACAAGTGTACTGCACAGAGGCCTGGACATGCTCTTCTAGGTTCAGGGTTCTCAGGCTCCTTGGACTTATTGTACAGGAGTGCTCGAGGATACAGGGAGAGCAGCCAGAACAAACCATAGCTTCTCCTGAGGTTCCATTTCCTGCAGCAAAAGCCTCTTGGAGGGTCCCCCTGCACATACGGGTAGAGTCAGTTCCTTTTGTCTCCATGTTGCTCCCCAGTAGAGACAGTCTCATTGAATGTGTCTGCTCCACTCCCACTTCAAAGCCACCGAACTTCCCATGCGCCATCTCTATCCTCTCATACCTTCCCCAACCTCACTGGTGCTCCCCCAAATAGCCCGAGCACGCACCTTTCTGGCTAAAGCCCAGATCCCCTTTGCTGAGCTCCCATGGACTCCCTCCTGTTCCCTCCTTACACAGCAGGCAGATATGGCTCAAATATGACCTGCTCCTGATGGACTCTGAGCTCCTGTGCACAGACACTCAATCAGTCTCACTCAACAGACACAGTATTTGTTTCATCAATTACTTACAGTTGCTATGGAGACCTTAAGACCAGAGAAGGCAGGGGCTACAGCACAGTAAGTTAAAGCCTCTAAGGGATGACCCACAGCTCTCATGAGGACAGGACCACACACTTAAGACAGGAGGTCAACAGAGACAAGAAAGGGAAGTGGGGATAGAGTGGAGGTGGGGAGCAAAGGCAGGCATATTAAAGCAAGCAGCAGAAAGCGATGAGGCTGCAGATGGCTTAGCAGTTAAGAGCACTTGCTGCTCTTCCATAGGTCCTGACTTTACTTCCTAGCACCCATGTCAGGCAGATCACAACTTCCTATAACTCCATCACTAAAGATCTAACACCCTCTTCTGGCCTTAGCATATACATGCATAAATTCTTAAAAATTAAATTTTGCAGCGGGGCGTTGGTGGTGCACGCCTTTAATCCCAGCACTTGGGAGGCAGAGGCAGGTGGATCTCTGTGAGTTCGAGGCCAGCCTGGTCTACAAGAGCTAGTTCCAGGACAGCCTCCAAAGCCACAGAGAAACCCTGTCTCGAAAAACCAAAAAAAAAAAATTTAAATTTTGCCTATGCCAGCTCATTTTATGCAACTTGACACACAGTAATAGTCATCTGAGATGGGGAACCTCAACTGAAAAAAATGACTCCATAAGATCTGGCTGTAGACAAGTCTGTTGGGCATTTTCTTAATTAGTGATTGATGGGGAAGGGTTCAGCCCACTGTTGGTGGGGCCACCTCTGCACTTGTGGTCCTGGGTTCTATAAGGAAGCAAGCTGAGCAAGCCATGAGGAGCAAGTCAGTAAGCAGCTCCCCTCCATGGTCTCTGCACCAGCTCCTGCTCCCAGGTTCCTGCCCTATTTGAGTTCTTGCCCTGACCTCCTTCAGTGATGGACTATCATGTGGAAATTAAGTAACTCCCACCCCAACTTGCTTTTGGTCATGTTGCTGTTCATCATAGCAATAGTAACCTTAACTAGGGCAGTGGCCCAAGCCTTTAATCCCAATACTGTAGAGGCAAAAGCAGAGGAGCCTCTGAGTTTGAGTCCAACGTGGTCTATAGAGTTCCAGGACAACCAAGGATACATGGTAAGTCCCTGTCTCAAACAAAACAATGAAAAAAAATTTAATTTATCTGCCTTTTAAAAAAGAAAATAAGCCGGGTGTTGGTGGTGCACGCCTTTAGTCCCAGCACTCAGGAGGCAGAGGCAGGTGGATCTCTGTGAGTTCAAGGCCACCCTGGTCTCCAGAGTGAGTTCCAGAACAGCCTCCAAAGCAATACAGAGAAACCCTGTGGGGGGGGGGAGAAAATGATCAAAGTCAAACCCATTTAAGGTCACTGTAAGGATCCCAGCTCCATAGACAGTGCCAACACCGAGGTCAAAACAAGTCACAAGACCCAGGTCAGCATTAAAGTCTACTCTTCAACAGCTAGTGATTTGTGACTACAGCAATGGCCACAGGGCAGCTATACAGAGAGGACTCTGAGAGCTGCTTAAGGACAGTCCATTTAGGAGCTGAGGAGGTGGGGGTTCTGAGATGTGACACTCAAAGTCTGTCTGCTATCTAACTCTCTGCTCATTGTCATAGTACTGCATCCAAGACAGAGCTAGAGCCGGGGAGGGGTGCACAGAGCTGCAAGAGCCTCTTTCCAGATGCCTCAGACAGAATGTGCAGAAGCTGAGTGTGCCAGCGTCAAAACTGAGTGACACCCAATTCTCCCTACCGCACGACAGTGACCTCAGGTTGGTAGCAATAGGGTGGTAGTGGTGGCTATCTCCTCCTCCTCCTCCTCCTCCTCCTCCTCCTCTTCCTCCTGGTGTTCACCCTCCCCTTTCCTCCTAGGTCCTTCTCCTCCTCTTACTTCTATTCAAGAGTTCATTTCCCAATGCACACTGCCCGACACTAATTATTAGGGCAGCTGCTTACAAGTCTGCCCACTGAGTCTACCATTCTTCATAAAGATGCATCCCAGTGCACAGAGACACAAATCTGTGACAGTGGGAGCCATTTTAGTCATTGCATATTTTAAACATGCAGCTACAAATTGGCAGAATGGAATATTTAACAACACTGGTGTTACTTGAGGTACCCATGACCTACACGGAGTCCGAATAAACTTAACTTAGACCCCAGCTCTGCAAGCAGTCTCAGAATACTCCTTCCAAAGCTTGGAATTCCTTCCTCAAGTCCCTCTGGCTGCTCAGGTCAGCTCCTCCCTAGCATGTCCTCCCAGGAATATACATGTGCTCTTAACTCTCCTGAAGCTCTGGGGTGTCACCTACGACTACTCCCACACCCAGACACCCGCAGCTCATTTTATCCTCCTACTTACCGCAGAGACAGTTTCTCTCAAAAGCAACCCTGCCTGGGTGCTGCTGATGGGAAAACACTGTTCCATCATGACTCTCCCCAGCTCATGGCCACAGCCAGCCATCTCATCACCTCCTGAAAACGCCTTTCTGCCTTGTCCCCCCGTCCTACCTCCTTGCCTCCACTATTATGACTAGACTTCCTCAGCCTTTTTCTCCAGTTTCTTGCTGCCCCATAAATATATCAGGAAGCTAGGTGTGGTGGAGGCCAGTCTCAAGTTGCATGGGAAGACCCCAACCAATGTGTGTGTGTATATGCATGCGTACGTATGTGTATGTATATGTGTGTGTGTGCGTGCATGCATACATGTGTGTGTTAGAAATCGTATAAGAATTCAAAGAGCGAAAAAGGAAATGTGTGCGCTGTTTCCACTTCTAGCAGCGGCACAAGATTTAGCAGGGCTTGCACTCGTCTCCTCCAATTGCTCTGTTAAAATGCCAACTCTCCTGCTCATATTTCCTCTCCCTCCTTCTCCACTGTACTTCTCTCTGCTCTACTTGACTTTCCCCATGGTTTTATTGTCTCTTCTCCACTGAGGAGTAAGATTCACCAGGACAGATGAATCAACTACACAAGCAGCATTCCAGCCAAGACACGGAACAGGCAGGTGCATGCTAAAAGGCAGACGAGCATTTGTGGAGTGGAGAATGCTCTGGTTTGGAACAACTGCCCTCTAGTGGTGTAATATGCTCACTGCCACTTTCACAGCATCTATGAAAGCTGATTTCGAATACGTCAAGCCCACCGGCGAATAATCCCTCTTTCTGCTAGAAAAAAAAAAAAGCACACCCACAAATAAAGTAAAAGTCGACAACGGCTCATTGGGGCTATGCTGACAGATCAAGGAACCTCTAAAATAGCACTCTGATGCTAACGGTGCGCCAAAGCTAAGATAGATACTGGGGCAAGCGTGGGAGATGGTCAAAGTTACGCACTCAGGTGCTGGGCTCCTGATGCTGTGGGGCTCAGAGGCCCCGCCTGCCCACGCCGAGCGCTCTCTATAGGCAGATTCACGGAGGTTCCGCGTTCACGTTGACTCAGCTGTAGGAAGGGTCCGGGCCTACAAGCAGCGAGTCCAGCCGGCCTCAGAAGCAAGTCTGAAGACCTTAAAGACGCTGGGGAGCGTCACGTCCTATCCCTAAACACGATTCGAGAAGGCCGCCTGTACCTGCGGACTGACTATTCCAAGACACTCTCTCCACGGCCCTCAGCGGCAACGCGAGTCCAGCCCCGAGCCGGCTCGCGCGCAGACGCAGTCGGCGCACAGCGCGCCCCCGGCAGCCCCCGCGGCACTGGCCGTCGGAGGAGGCGGAGGGGGATGACGTCATCCAGCGGGGCGACGGGCATTGGGCGCCATTTTGAAAAGGGAAAAAATTCCCTCCCCGGCGGCGGCGGGAGCGGCGGCTGCGGCGGCGGCCGGGGCTGAGCGCTCGGAGCGCCTCGGTCGGCCGCGCTCGGCTGGGCGCGTCCCGCCCGCGCCATGGCAGGTGAGGGCCGTGCGCGAGCGGGCGGGTGGACGGACGGTGGTGGGACGGGGCGGGGCCGGCCTGACGGCGCGCTCTGTTGCAGGAGCCGGAGGAGGCGGCTGCCCGGCGGGCGGCAACGACTTCCAGTGGTGCTTCTCGCAGGTGAAGGGCGCTGTCGACGAGGACGTGGCGGAAGGTGAGGCCCGACCGACCCCGGAGCCCCGGGCGCAAGGTCACGCTCAGCCGCCGGCCAGGATGCAGCCGCCTTTGCCCGCCTGGCCGGCGCTGCCTTGGGAGACCCTCGGCCGGCCGGCGGCTAAAGACAGAGAGGGGCGGCTGTAGGGAGCCGGCTGTGGACGCCGGCGTGGGGAGAGACTGCGGCGGAGGCCCGTCTCAGGGGTCTGTTGGGGAGACGGCGGTGGACGCTAGCCTTGGGAGGCTATGGGGAGATGGCCGTGGACGCCGGTCTCGGGGATCAGTGGGCAGATGGCCGCGGAGGCCAACCTCGGAAGGCTGTGGGGAGTCTGAGGAGGTAAGGCGGGAGACAGATCAAACCACGCAGGGTAAGGTAAGCCCGTGGCCACAGGTCCCTGGACTTCAGGGTGTACAACTGTCTTGAATGCAAGCCCCCAGAGCCCATAGGGGGACAGAGCTGTGGACACAGGTCTCTGGCTGTGGCCCTGGGATTGAGCCAGGAGTTGGTACTATAGGATGAGATGAGGTCCATTTGTTGTGAGACAGGGAGCATGGCCGTTGGTCTTTTGAGGCCTTATGGGGGTAAAATCAGGTCTCAGACAATGAGGTAGGGGCCCGTGTAGTATAAAAGGGGACTATGGACTCCGGCTTCCCTAGGGCCTGTACAAGGAGAGAAAGAAGATCCATATAGAGTTATTGGTCTCTGGGGCCCACTCAGTGTGAGACTGAACTCTGAGACTCTGGGCGCCCTCCCCAGTGGGCCTAGGTGTGCCAGATAGGCATTGGTCAGCCCTAGGCTTCATCTCTTGGTCGTGAGGTCTCCTGAAGCTCTGCAATAATGGCGTTCCACTGCTGAGTGTTTGCTCTTCTAAAGTCACTTCTCCAGACCTCCTCCTTTTTTTGTTTTGTTTGGGGTGAGTTGGTTGGTTGAGAAAAGTTCTTGGTGTTGTAGCCCAGGCCTTGAACTTCAAGGCAATCCCGTCTGCCCCAGGGCTGGGATTTCAGGCACACACTGTTCTACATTATTTATTTATTTATATTGTGTGTGTGTGTGTTTGTGGGTGTGTATATGACCCTGCACAGGTCGAGGTTAAAGGACAATTTGTGGGAGTTGTTTCTTTTTACCATGTGAGTCCCAGGGATTGAACTCCAGTCACCAGGTTTAATGCCACGTGATTTTACCTGCTGAGTCATCTTACAACCCCCCTCCTCACTTAGTCCTTGAAATTTGTTTGTTTGTTTGTTTTGGGCAGGGTTTCATATAGCCCAGATTAGCATCAGACTCCCTATGTATCTGAGGCTGGCCTTGGATTTTGCTTGTTTTGATTTTCCTGTTTTTGTTTTCAAGATGGGTTTCAGTGTGACATTGCTGTTCTGGAACCAGCTTTGCACACACCAGGCTGTCCCCAAACTCACAGAGATCCGCCTGCCTCTGCCTGGAATTTAAGGCGTGGGCTATAGGAATGCTGGGATTAGAGGCGTGCCCCACCATGCCTTGAATTCTTGAGTGCACACCACAAAGCCCAGCTTTCCTTAAGACTTTGCCTTGAACTTCAAGACCCTGTCTGTTGCTTTGTCTTTGCCCTAATCACAGCTTTAAATGTGCCATGGTTGTGGGTTAGTAGACTGGGAACTAAGAGAGCTTGAAGGTTGTGGAATTGCTTCTTAGAGACTTAAACATTAGCATTTTTTAACAAGTCATTGCAACTTGTTCAGCCATCTGATAAACATGGACCTTTCACTCTTTTAAAAGAAGTCTGTTCACTCCATCCACCTCCCTTGCCACAGCAGCAGCCTCTCCACTGGCGTCCTGTCCTGTTTGTTTCCCTCCTTCACCGTGACTCCTCCTGCCAGTGTCTGGCTTGACTCATGACCCTTGAGAACGGCTCAGGGGACAAGACCAGACCAGGTCATCTTGACCCATGAAACTGCTCTCCAAAAGTTTGCAGAGGTTCATGGTTTGAGATTGAAGCCAAGAGACTTTGTGTGAAGTAGTATATTGATTTTGTTTCTTCTGTGTTGGCATAAAATGTATTACTGTGTTTCATTTTGCATGTGCCAAGTAGGTGACAGGTCAGCCTTACTCCTGTGATTTATTGTAGCTGTGGTAATAATGGTGGTAGGAAGGTGAGTCCGTATTAACTTTCTGTGTGGTTTGGTTTCGTTTTTATTGATAAGTTAAATGAAAAAAACTGACTTTATATTTTGGAAAATGGCATTTCTCCCTTTTAGAAATCTTAACAGAAATATTTTATTTAGACTAATTAGAACTTTTTATGTTTTTTTTTAATTTTGGTTTGTTTTTCTAGACAGGGTTTCTCCGTGTATCCCTGACTATCCCGGATCTCTGTAGACCAGGCTGGCCTTGAACTCAAGAGATCTGTCTTCCTCCACCAAGATTAAAGGCTGTGTTTGTTGGGACTAAAGGCTTGTACCACCCCTGCCTGGCCTTTTTTTATTTTTCTTTAGTTTGCAAGTCTTTTGTATGTGTGTGGTAATTGCCTGTATTTTTCTTTTTAATTGTGTGTGTTCACAGTTTTCTGTTTGAATCTACGTATTTCTTAATCCATCATTATAATTTCATCTTTTTTCTTTTTTTGGTCAGACAGAGTGGTGGTATTTGATTTATCAGTGATGGTTTGAAAAGGCAAAGGCAGTCATTGACAACTAGGACTTGTTGTAACAACAAGAACCACTACACCAGCCCTGTCCAAACTCAAACTTGAAGAATAAATGTTGGTGAGAGATAATTAGAAGGTGGCATTTCAAGGGGTTTATTTCATGGCCTGATGCTTGTATTTGAGAACTTGAGGTATAGCAAAATTTATCTGTTGAAACTTGTAGCTTGTGAGGCTTTTTGTTCAGCTCTGCAAAATTCCATGTAGCTCTGCTCCTGGCTTTTGCTTTCTTCTGTGGTCCTGGGAATAGGCAGTCAGGTGTGTCCTAGAGATTAAGTCTGAGGTCTTCTGACCTGTCGGGCAGTACCCAGAGGCATGGGGGACAGAGGGCAGTGTATAAATAGGCAAGCCAGACAGGGCAAGATGAAAAAGTCTTTTGTTTGTGTTTGAGTCATATTTTTAACCTAATAACCCCTAGTACAATATTGAACTGTACACACTTTGTTTTTATGTATATAAGAATTAAATTTTGCTGTGAATCAGGTCACCATTTCTGCTCAAAGTAATGGTTTCATTGTGTGGTCAGTGATTCCCATATACCTGCAAATGGGAGCAAGTTGGGCACACAGGGAGATTAGTAATTGTCCTACTGATGGCCAGATGTAAGGGTGGCTGACAGTAGTGACTGACTCTCCATCCCTTGTTAGAGAGTAGAGTAGGAAGCAGGAATCAAAATGACAAACCAGGGGACTTCCATGTACTGCGCTTTGGGACAGTGCTTTGGGGTTAGTTATTTGGGCAGATGTCATGATATAGAATGACTAACAACCAGCTCCTGATCTCTATCCCTGAACATGCTTCCTACAGGTGACTATTCTATGACATTACAACCTGTTGCATGTTTATACACTGAGTCCTCAAGCCTAAAGACTGGCTGTCACCTCCCCTTTCCTAGGCCTTGCAAAAGATCCAGGCAAATAGCAGTGACAGCTAACATTATTGAATGCTTTTTGCGTGCCAAAAATTGTGCAGGGGTTCCAGGGATTAAACTCAGTTATCAGTTTTGGTAACAAGTGCCTGTCTACTGCGCCATCTTGCCAGCTCTGTCACTTCTTAATTAAGCCATGAGGTAGTTTATTGCTTTAAATTCAACATTAACTTTTTTTTTATCTAATGAAATAATACAAAGTCAAACTAAAGGTCTATGTTCTTAACTCCACGGTGAACCTTGGGGATTATATAATAAGTAACCTGGGAAGATGGGTAATCTGGTATAAAAAAAGATATTTAAAAAAAGATAAGCCCTCCTTAGGACTCGTGGTATTGTTGAAAGAAACAAACCCCAGAATGTAACAAAATGAAGGGAAATTAGAAAGTAACTATGTTTCATTGAATGTAAAAATACATCTCAGCAGTGGCGGCCCAGGCTGGGGAGGTAGAAGTGGACAGATCTGAGTTCCAAGCCAGCTAGGGCAGTTACACAGAGAAACCCTGTCTCAAAACCCAAAGAAATCTCATTTCATAGATAGTTAAATGGGGGAATGTAGTATCAAGGATGGAATATTTGGTCCCAATCTTTATATGTTAGGATCGATTCTTCATACAGAAAATGGGAATTGGTGCTTATCGTGAG